GAGGGGGGCATATGTAATACTTTCAACAATAAAGATTTAAAAATAAATAGACAAATAGATAAATATAAAATAAAAAAAGAACGTGCACTGAAAAACCTTCCTATTTGGTGTCCCCAAGAGTATATACTCACTTACAGCTGACAGCTCAATTGATCTTTCTTTCTTTCCCGATGTCACCCCTTGGAATGAAGCATGACTCGAAGTGTGTGCACATCTGGGGGGGGGGCAGCGCCCTCTATCTGTATACTTTTCTCTTATGGAGGGAACACCTGCTGGATTCATTTCTAGGGGGAGGTTTTGTTCTTCTCCCACATGATTTCACCTACACTTCCTCCCTTTATGTCGTTACAAAGAGCACCCTGTTTCAGCGGCTGAAGTCCAATCTCCCATTTGCCCCATCAGCTGGCTCAGCAGCAGGCGGGCAGGTGTCGGATGGAATCCACGCCAACACCCGCCGCGCTCACCACGCCTGCTGGAGGCGCTGCTGGGACCACGGTCTTTCTGGCCGATGCTCAGGTGCACTGACTAGCACAGGTGACAATGGTGACCGTGTGGGTGAGGGACCAGGCAGGGGCGAGTGAGAGACGAGGCAGGGGCAGGGCGTGAAGAGCGGGCGGTCCCCTCAGTGAGGCTGTCCTGGGCCTGGGAGCCCCCCGCCCCCGCCCAGTCTCGCTCCCCTTGGGCAGGGCCCTGGGGACACTCACACACACAGCTGGGCTTGTTGCCCGACCACTGGTTGTTCCGCTGGCAGGTGATGGCGCGCTCGCCCACCAGCTCGAAGGCCGCTTGGCACTCGAAGGTCAGGGTGTCCCCGTGCAGGAAGCTGCCGCCCGTGCGCCGCCCGTAGGCAGGGATGCCGGGGTCCCCGCAGCCCCCCTTCTCGATTTCTGCAAAAGGAGGGACAGATGGACCGTTACACAGGCACGCGGACAGCGCTTCACCGTTTAGAACACGAACACGTGGTGACCATCGCTGGTCTCCACATTATTTCCATCAGCAGTTTTAACACGGGGACTCGATTCACCCACATTCAGTTACAAGAGCCGGGAGAAGGCGCCATGTAAACGTGAGAGAAAGGCTTTAGCTGACGGTCCTCAGGGACACGCATGGCTACACAGAGGAGCTCACGATGCGGACATTATGACGAACACGGTGAGCGAGCCCTCCTGGCCACATGCTGCCTGCTCGGCACCCACAGCCGCTGCCTCCGAATCTGGGCGGTTCTCATGGCAACAGTCCAGGGAGAGGGCCCTCCCCACTGAGCATTTAAGTCCGCAGGCCCATGTGAACACTCTTTCCTTTAACTAAGGTTAGAGCTCATTCATGAGCTGAAATGAAACACGTATGGCCTCCGGATGAGAAGAAAATATGCAGAATCGACCTTTTTCCCGAAAACCTGACGGCAGTGACACCTGGACACAAAGGCCGAACGCGGCAGAGGAGCCCAGCGTGGCTCCGCCTCCAACGTTAACCGCAGGATGCAGCCACCGAGAGCCCAGCTACTCTCCACAGAGACACCCTCTCGGAAGGTCAGTGGGGTCAGGCCCTGCTCTCAAAATGAGCGGTGCGGACAGGGACGGGGAAGGCAAGATGCACGCACTCGGGGGGGTTACGGTATTTGGAGGGAAACGACAAAATAGTTAAAATGCATCTAATTTCAGTGATGACCAGTATGCGAGGCCCAATGCGGGTTCAAAGGGCGAGGGGAGAGCAGGAAGTGTGGGCCGGCAGGACCCTGGCTGAATGCTGCCCTTGCTCAATGCTCAATGTCAACTGTAGCCCAGGTTTCACAGACCCGGCTGTAAGCGGGGTGAGCATGACAGGAGCCCCACTGGGTAATGGCACAGAGGAAACCATGGCAACTAGCCACACAGAGGACAGGCCGTGGCCGGGCCTCCCGGACGGCACTGGGGTGCGAGCCATCCCCTGTACCTGCGGCAAGTCCACACAACAGCTTCCTGAATGAGCACTGAGCAGACACACCTGGGGTTGGTACCAGGAGGAGGGACCAGCATAAATGGCAGGAGGGGGGCGGAGTCAGAAGCGAGCCCATGTGGTCAGCGCCTGCAGCTGAGATGCCTGGGAAGAGGCGGGGGAGGGGCAGGGGGCACGCACCCCGCGGCTGGGAGGGGTTTTTCGCTGAGTGTGTAGGAGAAGGCATGGCAGCGCAAATTCCTGGACAAGGCGAGGCCTGGAGTTGTGTGGCAGGATGACTTCGTGGTGCTCAAGGAGTTCCTGAGGGCCAACTCACCCACCATGGATAAGCCGCTGGAATACTTCGGAGAAAACCCCAAGACCACATCCCCCTCCATGTTCTTTACCCTCTTTAGTCGCTTCGTCAAGGCCTACAAGAAAGCTGAGCAGGAGGTGGAACAGTGGAAGAAAGAAGCGGCTGCTCAGGAGGCAGGCGCTGAAACTCCAGGCAAAGGGGCCTCCCCAACACTCAAGTCCCCACCCAAGGCTCGGAGGCCACAGATGGACCTCTTGGCGGGTGGAAGAGCGAGTTTTAACGCCCGAGGATGGATTTGCGTCTCCCATGCCCACTACTGCCCGCCTCTCACCGTTCTTCACGGGGCAGCACCGGGTTAACTCAGGGTCCAGAGCACGTTGGGACTTAGGTTTCTGAGCTTCCTAACCGCCTTCTGACCAAGTTCTCCTGAGGGATGTTTGGAGGGTGACTCGGAGCTGGGTTTCGGGGTGGTGGCGGAGTCAGAAGCGAGCCCATGTGGTCAGCGCCTGCAGCTGAGATGCCTGGGAAGAGGCGGGGGAGGGGCAGGGGGCACGCACCCCGCGGCTGGGAGGGGTTTTTCGCTGAGTGTGTAGGAGAAGGCATGGCAGCGCAAATTCCTGGACAAGGCGAGGCCTGGAGTTGTGTGGCAGGATGACTTCGTGGTGCTCAAGGAGTTCCTGAGGGCCAACTCACCCACCATGGATAAGCCGCTGGAATACTTCGGAGAAAACCCCAAGACCACATCCCCCCGGAGTCAGAGGCGAGCCCATGTGGTCAGCGCCTGCAGCCAAGATGCCTGGGAAGAGGTGGGGGAGGGGAAGGGGGCACACACCCCGCGGCTGGGAGGGGGTTTGCGCTGAGTGTGTGGGAGAAGGCATGGCAGGGTGTCAGGGTGAGCACACGCTTAAAAGATCATCCGCAGGGCTGGCGGGGAGGGCACAGGGCTGGCGGAGTGGGCGCAGGGCAAAGGGAGGGGGTGTTTATTTTTTTTTATTTCAGAGAAGAAGGGAGAGGGAGAGAGAGATAGAAACATCAGCACCTGCGGAACCAGCCCTACATCCCCATGGACACAGGCTGCCGCAGTGCCCGCCGGAGACCCCCGGGACCCCCCTGCAGGTCAGGGTGAGCACACGCTTAAAAGATCGTCCGCAAGGCTGACGGGGAGGGCACAGGGCTGGCGGAGTGGGCGCAGGGCAAAGGGAGGGGGTGTTTATTTTTTTTTATTTCAGAGAAGAAGGGAGAGGGAGAGAGAGATAGAAACATCAGTGATGAGAGAATCATGGGTCGGCTGCCTCCTGCATGCCCCACACTGGGTATGGAGCCTGTAACCCGGGCATGTGCCCTGACTGGGAATTGAACCATGACCTCCTGATTCATAGGTCGACGCTCAGCCACTGAGCCACGTTGGCGGGTGGAAGAGCGAGTTTTAACGCCCGAGGATGGATTTGCGTCTCCCATGCCCACTACTGCCCGCCTCTCACCGTTCTTCACGGGGCAGCACCGGGTTAACTCAGGGTCCAGAGCACGTTGGGACTTAGGTTTCTGAGCTTCCTAACCGCCTTCTGACCAAGTTCTCCTGAGGGATGTTTGGAGGGTGACTCGGAGCTGGGTTTCGGGGTGGTTTTAAGGTAGATGTCACGGTGTGGGCACCCACCCCCCACCCCCCGCCCTGGAGATGGATCCAGGGATGGCCCAGTCCACGTGGGAGGAGGAGCTGCCCCCTGAAGTGTGGGATACCTGGGAAGAGGGCCAGCTCGCAGGGTCACAATGCATCCAGACCCCACCACGGCGGTGGGACTACCTCTGTTTCCTCGAGCAGCAGAGCAAGAGGAACAGAAAACACAACAAAGGTGGGCACCGGGCACAGGCTCACACGTCACTAACCGCAGGGGCCATGATAGGAGGAAGGGCCCCTTCCAGCAACAGGGGCTGAGTGCCCCAGGGGCACATGGGCCACCGAGCTGCAGGCGGCACCTCCTTAAGGACGGGAGGGGGTTCAGGTTGTGGCCTTCCACGGAGCACAGCCAGGCGGGGCCAGACTTGAACTGAGGCCTGGAGGCCTGAATCATGTCTCTCCCATGGACACCAGCCAGCAGGCCTGGCTCAGCACAGACAAGAGCCTGCGCCTGGTGTGGCCTCAGAAGGACCTGGGAAACGTCCTATGCAGGTGGCCCAGACCCTCGGGGCAGGAACACAGAGCACAGAGCTGTTTCTAAAAGTGGTATCTGGCCCTGGCCGGTGTGGCTCCGTGGAGAGAGCGTCGGCCTGCGGACCCAAGGGTTTGCATGTGCCCTGACTGGGAATTGAACTGTGACCTCCTGGTTCATAGGTCGATGCTCAGCCACTGAGCCACGTCAGCGGATGGAAGAGTGAGTTTTAATGCCCGTGGATGGATTTGCGTCTCCCACACGCACTACTGTCCGCCTTCCGCAGTTCTTCACGGGCCGGCACCGATTAACTCAGGGTCCAGAGCACGTTGGGACTTAGGTTTTCTGAGCGACCTAACCGCCTTCTGACCAAGTTCTCCTTAGGGATGTTTGGAGGGTGACTCGGAGCTGGGTTTCGGGGTAGTTTTAAGGTAGATGCCACAGTGTGGGCACTGCCCCCGCTCCCCCGCCCCTGAGATGGATCCAGGGATGGCCCAGTCCACGCGGGAGGAGGGGCTGCCCCCTGAGGTGTGGGATACCTGGAAGGGGGCCAGCTCGCGGGGTCACAATGCATCCAGACCCCATCACGGGGGTGGGACCACCTCTGTTTCCTCGAGCAGCAGAGCAAGAGGAACAGAAAACACAACAAAGGTGGGCACCGGGCACAGGCTCACACGTCACTAACCGCAGGGGCCGTGATAGGAGGAAGGGCCCCTTCCAGCAACAGGGGCTGAGTGCCCCGGGGGCACAGGGGCCACCGAGCTGCAGGCGGCAACTCCTAAGGACGGGCAGGGTTCAGGTTGTGGCCCCCGACGGAGCACAGCCAGGCGGGGCCAGACTTGAACTGAGGCCTGGAGGCCTGAACCACGTCTCTCCCATGGACACCAGCCAGCAGGCCTGGCTCAGCACAGACAAGAGCCTGTGCCCGGTGTGGCCTCAGAAGGACCTGGGAAACGTCCTATGCAGGTGGCCCAGACCCTCGGGGCAGGAACACAGAGCACAGAGCTGTTTCTAAAAGTGGTATCTGGCCCTGGCCGGTGTGGCTCCGTGGAGAGAGCGTCGGCCTGCGGACCCAAGGGTCCTGGGAGCGATTCCGGTCAAGGGCACGTACCTCGGTTGCCAGCCCTCCCTGGTCCTGGGGCTGGTGCGGGAGGCAACCAATCAGTGTGTTTCCCTCACATGACTGTTTCTCTGTGTCTTTCCGTCTCTCTTCCACGCTCCCTAAAAACCAATGGGAAAATATCCTCTGGTGAGGACTTAAAAAATAAAAATGAAAAGTAAATAAAAGTGATATTTGCACAGCCAATCCGGACCACCTGCTGCAGGACGCTGGCAGGATTAGAATCGAATCGAACTCTACGCACAGCGCCGAGTCAGTGGAAACAAAGCCGCCCGCCCGCTGCACACCCCGAGCATGTCACTCTGTGGCAGGGGCAGCTGGCCCGGGCGCGGATATCCCGCTGATCTGTGCTCAGCGTTCAGAACAGAAAGGGAAGGATGCGTCTCTAAG